CACCTGTAGGTATTTCAGTGGTTACGTCACATATATACACAGCACATTTAGCTGATCTAGGCAAAAAGTAAAGGCATATGATTGAAAGCTGAGGGGTGCATGTGGAAAATGTTTTAAATCGGGCCTGAACACTTGAGAGTTTGAAAACAGATCTGATGATGGCAATGTATGAAAATATGATGAATATTAAAGGGCCTAAAAGAACAAACAAGGATACGGCTAGAGCATTTCTCCTCAGCTCAGTTTTGTCTCCACAGCCAATTTGAGCTAATTAATTGAAATCACAGAAACATTGATTTATTACGTTTGTCATACAAAAGGGAAGCTTTTCAGTTTGGTAAGTAATGGTAAAAATCCTAAAATAAGTAACCAACACACTGTGCACGCATATCCAGTATGCTGGTTTGTGATAATAGCAGGATATCGATGATATGATATCATATGCAAAGATAATGAATTCATACATAAGGCCATGATATGGTAGTCAAGCAGAATGTGCTTCATGTTTCATAAAATAAATCAATAAGTTACATGAATTCTTTAGCCTGCATGCTTCATAAACATTGCACAGTAACCTTAAGTAGGTCTTACATTTGGAGGGAGTGAAACTCTTCTGTCCAATGCACCTCTATAATGACAGAAATTCATTCACTCATCATTTATGAACTCTTCCCTTGGTCACAAGAGACACATCATGAGACACGTCATACTGTATGTTTGGTGCTTAGATGGGCTCTTCAAATAAGCCGTCATATTTTATTTGTTACTTTGCTAAATAGACTATATAATTATTTGTATGCAACAGCTCTATGACTTTCCACGTAACATCAGAGGTGATTTGGTTATGTTGCCTATACCAGAGAAACACTTTCAGTGAAAGGTGAATTTCATTTGAAGGCCAAGGCACAGTCCAAACGAAATGTAGCAACTGAATCTGCACAAAGATATGCCAGTGCCATCACTTTTAGGAAGTTGTCATGATCATGTGATTTCGTTATTCATTGTAAAAACAATGAGAGTGATTTTTCATTCATTCATTCATTCATTCATTCATTCATTCATTCCATACAACTTGATGAATATACTTGTGAAATGTGCTTCCTCAGTAAATATCAAGGCTTTATTTAGGTTATATTTTACATGACTGTCAAATTACTTTAGTTTGCCAGCATGATATTATTTTTTATTATTTTTCTAATTGGATCATTAATAATATAGGCCTATGTTAATTCAAATTTCCATCTTTGAGACTGCCAGTGTATCCATTCCAGCACTTTGTCAATATTCAAATGAAATAACTATAATTCATTCCAAAATAATTGGTTTGTTTGAATCGACTCCAAAATTATGATTTATATGATATGATAATTTTGGGCACGTCATGCAAAGGGCAGCCTAGCTACCTTCCTGTACATGCTTTGAAGTCAGAAAACACAAAACGTCTAGCAGAAACTATAATAATGGCAGCCAGAGGAAAACAGAAGAAGATGCCATCTAAGTACTAATATAGTATTAATATAGTACTCAGACAGCAAAATTGTTCTTGTAAAGCAGAACAAGGGAAAACACCTTTAGGACATTAGTTATATTGGATTTTTATTTGATCTATTATCCTTTTAGCTGCATCTTAGCATACTGAAGCATATAATAGTCTAAAATATTTGATATTTATCACTTATTTTATGTGTTTTCTTAGTTATGCTTTTAATAAACTAAAGAAATTAGTAATTAAAAGACTTTCTGATTATTTTCAAGTTCAAATGAATGGCAAGAAACAATCCAGGAAAAGGATTATGGTAAACATGCACACTATTTAACAAAGAACCACATTTCAAAGTAAATGAAAAAAATAACGTTTAAGTGGCCTGCGGTCCCCACGAGGGGGAAAAAATATATTTAAAATAGTAAATTATGTTTATCTGAAAGTGTAACAATACAAACAGGTTTTCTGTAAGGGGTAGATTTAGGGTTAGGGGATAGAAAATATTGTTTGGTCAGTATAAAAGTAATAGAAGTCTAGGGACAGTCCCCACAATTCACAGAAACAAACGTGTGTGTGTGTGTGTGTGTGTGTGTTTTGTCAGACCACTAGTAAAAGTGTAACTGTAAATCCTATCCAGTCTCTTTCAATCAATATCCCACATACAGTAATGTGTAAATTTGTGCTTTTGAAATGGAGATATGGCATACAGACGTGCAGCCTTCTGCATTTCAATACAGTAACTGTTATCCAAACTGTCATAGTTTACAGCAGGTAATACTAACAGAGTGCACTTTTATATTGACAACATGACTAAGCATTTTGACTATCTTGTTTGTGAACAGTGACACAAGGACTTTTCATTCTGATGGCACTGATATGTTTATTGATATAACTACTTACTTTTGAAAGATGATCTAAAGATTTTGAGTAAGTTACAGGAGAAAAACTGTAAAGCGAAATAACTGAACATAAACATAGGAGCCTGAGAAAAAGAGGCCATGAATATAGTATTCAACAATACTGGGCCAGTTAGTTTCTTTTTAACTAAGATTGACCTTTACATTACCTCCAACCTGTTTTTTCTTAACATTTTTTAGTTATTGCCTCTTTGATCTCTTTAGTCCTGAAGCAATATATAAATGGTTTGATAACAGCAGGGACAAGACTGTACATCATGGAAACAGAACATTGCAATGACTCTTGGGTAGGTCGTCGTTCCAAGTGTGAGATCTGCCATTGCAAGGTTACAGAAGATTAGGTAGGTTGGTTTCTGAATGCTTTTCTCATACATTACAAAGACAATAATGAAATTATTCCCAGTTGCAAGAAGAAGGTAGAAGATGTAAAACAAGGCTCCTACAAGTTTGTAATATTCAGGAAGGAGTCCAGGAAAACCTTGTAGAACAAATTCGGCGAAGACCGTTGTGCTGTTTGTGTTTTGGTAGGTTCCGTCATTGCTGCCTGACCCCATCTGGAGAACTAAAAAGTGAAATACAATCTGCATAAATACATCTACAAAAGATAATACACAGACGAACAGTGTACATTTAAAGGATACTGCACTGTGATTTCAGCATAGACATTAATACTTTTAGCACAGACAATGTTTTCACAGCAAACACAACATTTACAAATGAGTGAGGTGAGAAAGAAGGGGATAAAAGGGCAAAGAATACGACCAAACACACACATTATCTTTTTCAAACAACGATAGTTTACATGAACATACTAATACAGTGTCCTCTGATATATTACGGGTAAGTTTACTTTTAAATGATCACACTCGAGATACACTTAAGCTATTGATGTAATATAACTTTCACATGTAACTTTAGAAAGCAATGACGGAACCTACCAAAACACAAACAGCACAACGGTCTTCGCCGAATTTGTTCTACAAGGTTTTCCTGGACTCCCTCCTGAATATTACAAACTTGTAGGAGCCTTATTTTTCATCTTATACCTTCTTCTTGCAACTGGGAATAATTTCATTATTGTCTTTGTAATGTATGAGAAAAGCATTCAGAAACCAACCTCCACAGGGCCCTGAACATAGCAAATGTATTGTTATTGTTTGCAGCGGAGTGTTTTATTGAATATAAATGTGTTATATATAAGTCATAATTCTTCAGTTCTGCCAGGCTAAAATAAATACATGAATCAATTATTTGCTGCTTCTTTCATTCTGAAAGATTATGTGTCAGATGCATTTACATAGTGGCTGTGCCCCAGATGCAATCAACAGAAACTGTCTGTAAAGTTGTAAAGCAAATGGTCCATTCAGTTAGAATAACAAAGGAACAGCATTTCTCAGAAACTTCTTGTAGATTGCAGGATCTCCAGAGGGAGGTCCTAACATCATGTACTGTTTGTAGACCTTTTATTTTCAGGAATCATTTTCTGTCTCACAGACAGAACTTTGGGAGAAGCTAGGGAGAAGCTAGGACTCATACAAGGGTTAAGATATTTTGAAGACCGACAAGCTAGCATCGCTGTTGAATACCTGCTACACTGCTACCTTCAATAAATTCTTCTCCCCACAAGAACTCTGGTCAAGCTTACTTATTTTATGTATTAGAGAAATCTAATACATTGACGGGCCACCCAAACCACTGCTCAGCCAAATACAGCAAAATCTAACCATTCTTACAGTCTTCCTGTCAGAGAACCAGTTGATACAGCTAAAAAAACTAAAAGTCATTAGCTTCTTAATGCCAAGTACAGTAGTATACTATATGCATATTAAAGTATGATTATGTGTGACTAAGTTGGTTATGGAGGATTTGGCCTTTCCCTCCCTCTCTCACTTTCTCTTCCATATACAAATTTTAGGATTTTCTACATTGTTTGGATCAGAAATTATGGCAACTATCAAAATGATCTTGTGTTTAAAAAAATCTTATCATCCTGCCTTACAGTTTCACTGTTTTAATAAAAACCTGTGCCTACACTGTACATACACTTAATGTGTTGAATGTATATATGCATGTCCCATGATATAAGAATATATTTACAGAAGCAGTACACTTTATTTTTAGGCATGTTCCAAGGCAGGAACAGAAATTGCATTAGCTATTAATTTACATTTCTTTCCAATTTCCACGTTCACCTTCAGGTCTCTTTCACTATATTGTACAATATAATACCTGATAATGACTTGACTATTAAAAGTTGAGTAGATGAGTAAATGTGTTAGAACATTTCATGAATGAAAGATACCTTCGAATTAAATGAAGATCATAACTAAACTATACAACTGAGGGAGTTCTCTGTGTAGTATCTACACCTTATATGCAAAAAAAAAAAGAAAGAAAAAGAAAAAAGAGGGCATTAAAATATACTTACTGAAAAAAATGAGTTTGTACATCAGGGAAAATATTCATTATTTCACAAATATGTCATTGATTCTCATTATGTGTTAGATCAGCCAGAATTACAATTATATAAACACATAAACAGGGCAAAGTGTAAACAATGCACTCTACTGTATTAAAGCAATTTCAGTATTTTTAGCGCATCATATCTGCATGTTCACTTTCCTGTCTCTAAATTTTTTCTTTAACGCATCTTTGATTTCTTTGGTTCTGAAGCAGTAAATCACTGGATTGACAACAGGTGGAAGAAGACTGTACCACATGATTAACATAACCCGAATGCCAGGTGAGATCGCTATTGTCACATCATGCACATAAACAACACATCTGGGCACATAGTACAGACAAATGATAAATAGTTGAGGAGTGCAAGTTGAGAATGTTTTATAACGGGCCTGAACATCTGAGATTTTGAAAACAGACGTGATGATAGCAATAAAAGAAAATATAATAAAAATCAAAGGGCCCAAAAGAACAAACATGGCACATGAAAATGCAAAAACCTTTTTCTGTCTTACATCTCCACAAGACAGTTTAATTATCGAATTTTGGTCACAGTAATTTTGGGTTATTACATTAGAATCACAGTAGGGCTCATCGAAGGCATGATAAACAATGACTGACAGCCATGAAATACAAATGATCCAAATCACTGCACATGCCAATAAAATAGACTTATTTGTAATAAGGACACAGTATCTCAGTGGGTTACACACTGCAACAAACCGATCAATGGCCATTAATAGCATTAGGAAAGAGTTAATAGTCCCTAAGTAGTGAACAAAAAACATCTGCACAAAGCAGCTATAAAATGGTATCTCACTGCTATTGAAAAGGTATTTTGCAATGGCTTTAGGCAGCGTGATGGTTCCAAAAGCAAGATCAGACACTGCAAGATTACAGAAGATAAAATAGGTAGGTTTCTGAAGGCTTCTCTCACAAGCAATAAATGAAATGATAAAGAAATTTCCTCCTGCTAGTGTCAAGTAGACAAAGAACAAAAGGGTTCCCACGGCTCCATAATACTGTGGATGGAGTCCTGGAAATCCCAGCAGGTAGAATTCAGTAAAGACAGTGACATTTGTGGGAGTCATGACTCTAGAACGGCTTTGGAGTTACCTGATACAAATTCACAGAAATAAAAAAATTATTTTAAAAAGCAATGACAATTACACAAGCATTTGACTGTCAATGCAAAATAAAACAACATATAAACGTCTGCAACAATTGCTGTTGTTATAAAATTCTTCACCGATTATATCGATAATATATCATTCACATACATTACCTCCATGTAAACTATTCTGATGTAATTGGCATAATCAATTAAAATTGCATTATTTTGAGTTTGATGGAGAAGATTCACAATCACTAACTGTATTAATCCACAAACAAAAATGCCTTTCTCTCTGTGCGTCCATCTAACAGTGCTATACACAGTCACCGTTTAGCAAGACTAATAAAGACTAAAGGCACCTCCCACTAACTGACGTGTTGTTTGGAGTTTCTGCTGTCTCATTCATTCATGATTATCTTATGAACAGTTTGGTTTCTTTGACACTAACATGCTTGAGTCCTTGCCATTAGTGTTGTCACGAAACTTGAATTTGTAACTTTGATATAATACATTGAAAAATATTAATATTCAATACCATTTTCAGTAGGCCTATCACAGGTTAAACTGCAATGTGAACATTAGGCCTAAGTTACAGTTTATTTGACTTTTAACCATAGTCAAAGTTTTAATAAGTAAATTACTCAAGTTTTCCAACGTCACAACATTGCGCACAGTCAACTTGCTGTCATGAGCTCACAGAATGGCTTTGACTGTTCCAATATGGCGGATGACTAACGTATAATGTTCCATAGAAACAGTCACTAATAAGGCATCTACATAACCATATCTATGGGTCAGAACCTCCCGAAACCCTTCATAGTAATAAGTAAATTACTCAAGTTTTCCAACATCACAACATTGCGCACAGTCAACTTGCTGTCATGAGCTCACAGAATGGCTTTGACTGTTCCAATATGGCGGATGACTAACGTATAATGTTCCATAGAAACAGTCACTAATAAGGCATCTACATAACCATATCTATGGGTCAGAACCTCCCGAAACCCTTCATAAATTGCACCCTGTTTATTGATGCTGTGCAAAATGTTAAAACTGTTTTAAATGAAACTGCTTTAATTTAAACAACTTAATCTTAATAATTTCTGTTGCATTGCATCATTTTTGATATGAATTCTATGATTCTCCATTATCAAAAAGAGCTGTTATCTTTCAGATTTACCTTGAACTATGCAATTAGATTTTTATTTTTATTTTATTTATTAGGCTGGCCCTTTCTCCGTAGTAATGCCACCACACAAAATGCCTCTATATAGGCCCAGACAATAAAGAAATTCATCATTTACTTGGTAATAATAATAATAACATGGGCTGTAACCACCTTGTGGCATCCCACTGTCAGACTACTCAATCTAAATTCCACAAAATCTCCCAATCCCAAAGCCGTTGTGTGATTACAATGTCTTTCACCATTTGTGAACTGAATTCTTTATAACAGCCACGTAATTACACAGTAAAATATTTATACACATTAATACAACAAATATTTTCTCTAATATGAGAAAACACTCCTATTTAAAATTGCTTGCATTCATAAAAGCAGAACTATCAAGGCCTTCCAGTGGAGACAGGACTTTGCACAGCTCTTGCCCAATGCCAGTATTTGTGTGGCTTCAGTAAATTAACCAAACTGGGATAGTTCAAAATAAAATCATAGTGAATAATACTGTCACGACACGAGACGGAGGGCCTCCAGAGTGATACCCGTTCAGTGTGCCAATGGCGGAGCAGGCAGCTCGGAGAGTCATGGCAGAGCAGGCAGCTCGGGGAGCCATGGCAGAGTAGGGAACTCAGGAGGCCATGGCAGATCCAACAGTCCAGGAGGCCATGGCGGTGTAGGGAACACAGGAGGCCATGGCGGATCTGGCAGCTCTGGGCGCCATGGCGGATCTGGCAGCTCAGGAGGCCATGGTGGAGCAGGTAGTTCAGGAGGCCATGGCAAAGCAGCCTCCGAGGACGCGACCCCTGCCCCCGCCCCGGCCTCTACGGCTGGAGCCCTACTACCCCCCCAAAAAATGTAGATGATTTGATGCCCTTCCTGATTTTCCTGCTGTAGTTTTTTACCAACTGACCCTGACAGTTTGATGAGCATTACAGTAGCAAATCCAGCAGTAACTGTTAATGTGAATGAGGACCTCAAATAGGCTACACCTCTTAAAGAAATGGTTCACCCAAATTATAATTCTTTCATCATTTACTCACCCTCATGGCAATCCAAACCTATGATATAATTTTTTAACATGGAGTACAAAAAAATTCTTGAAATATAGTTCACCTAACTCTTTCCCATAATAATAGCTCATAAGCTTTCAAGCTCTAAAAAAAAAGAACCAAACACTCCATAAAGTAAACGTCTCTAGGTTACGTATGTAACCATGGTTCCCCGAGGGAACGAGACGCTGCGTCGAGTCGCTTTGGGAACGCCCTTGCGTGACCGTGTTCTGAAGCACGTGTCAAATCCGTCCAATGGAGCAGCGAGACGTCACGAGCAGGGTGACGTAAGCACCAGAAAGCATAAAAGCGCATCCGGCAGGGCGCAAACCAGCTTTGATGAAGTAGCGCCTGCAGGGATGCAGGGAGTATGGCAAAGAGACGCAGCATCTCGTTCCCTCGGGGAACCATGGTTACATACGTAACCTAGAGACGTTCCCCTTCAGGAACTCGAGCTGCGTCGAGTCGCTTTGGGAACGAGAATACCCACTGCACCATACTACCAAGTCCCTGCCTGTGTGTGTATCCTATGGGACACATCACGAAGAGAAAACTTGGGAACCTGGGGTAGAAGCCAGGTCTAGGTTGTAAAAGCGGACAAAAGTGTGTGGAGAGGACCAGCCCGCAACAGCACAAATGTCCTGCAAGGCCACACCCAAGCTGAAAGCCTTGGAGGCCGCCATACTCCTGGTCGAGTGCGCTCTGACCCCCATAGGTGACGGGAGGCCAGAGGACTCATAGGCTAGTGAGATGGCCTCGACCACCCACCTTACCCATAGTCTGTTTGGTCGCCGGAAATCCCTTCTTCGGCAGACCAAAACAAACAAAAAGCTGATCTGCCTTACGCCATGGGGTTCAATACATTAAATCAAAATAATGATTTTATTTGAATTTTTGGAAAAAGGTTGAGACCTCTGAGGCAGGACTACATCTTAAATGCAGGAGCTACATTTAATGCTAGATTCATTTTATTTCAGATAAAATTAGATCATTAGATTCTGCAGCATATTGCAGCAGATGTGTGGTGTATTGAATAACAATGTGAAAAATACTCTGTCCTGCTTTTGCTGTTGATGTTATTATTTCCTGCCTAAGTGTGGGAGCTGCATTGAGAAGAACATTAAATCCCAATTTTATCTATCAGTAAAATGGTGACATTGGAAGTATTATTGAATAAAGTATATACTATAAGTACAGAGTTCCTAAAGTTGGATTTGCAGAGAAACAAGGTGAGACTTCGACATGCATACAAAAAAGGTATATGTAGTTGTCTGGTGCGCATTCAGAACTTTTTAATCAGTATTCAGAAAAAAAATGCTATTTTTTTCCCCTGCAAATGTTAACTTACAGTGTATAAATATTAAATGCATATAACTATGTTCAGCATAAGCCACTTTTTTTCTGCAACATTGTGGTCTAACTTACTAAATATAGCAGATCAGAGCAAATGTAAAGACATGGCAATTTTTCTCTTCTGAAATTGACTTAAAATATTTTTTACTTCACTATATTTTCAAAATACATATTTTCTGACAATACTGAGCAGCAATGTACAGTTAGAAGGAACACACAAATGATTCAGGTTGTTGCAAGAGGTTTTGAACCTTTTTATTAACACAGTTGGCAAGCACCCTTGTTATTTAAAAACATTTTAATTAGACGGCTATGTGTGAGAGTTGCATCGAGTAGCATGGGGCATCCAATTTTATCCATCAGTATAATGGTGACAGTGCTTTATCATGTAATGAATGAAAGTATAGAGTCTTTAAAGTGACATTCACTGAAAAAAGAAAAGAAAAACTTAAAATACTCTTATGTGCAAATGAAAAACTTTTCCAGTGTACCAGAAAATGCTGGCATTCTCACTCGTTACAGTTTTCTGGTTTATTTACATAGAGTTTTCTGATGTGCTGCGCTAAAGTTTGTCGTGCACACATAGAATTTCCTAAACTATAACAAAGAATATAATCAACAATTACAACATGTTCAACAACAGAAGCCAGTTTTCTCTGCAACATTAACAGAAAGTAAGATCAAATGGTAATGTTGTGGTGCTGAATAGTACATCACATACGACTAGATTTATAATGAAATAGTAAACAGGTTTCTGAAGGCTCTTAGTCGTTACAAACAACATAAAAAATAAAGCATTTCCCACCAATGTAAACACATAAACAAAAAATAGAAGTGCTGAAACAAGTCCATAGTAATGAGGCTGGAGTCCAGGAAAGCCAACTATCACAAAATCCTTTATAAAGCTGACGTTTCCCACTGACATGATGAATATCAGTCCCTCAATATGGGTCTTTTTTCTGTATGTAGAAAATATTCCATTTAATATTATAATAATAGACTATAACTATAATAATAGCAATAACTTTATAGTTTAATAAAATCTGTGTGGATAAAGAGAAACAAACCTGCCACACTTCTTTCACAGGCTACTGTCAAAGCACATTCTGTCCCTTTACAATGAGATGTGCTGGTGATGTGTCTGTTTATATCTGACAAATTATGAAGACAATGGCCTGAGACGCAAATGACATAGTTCCTCCAGGGACAGTGACAAAATTGTCATGTAGTTCTCTAACCTCTAAATCTTTACATTTACAAAAAAAGTAAACCAGATGCAAAAGTACAGCTATTGACTTGTCTTCTTTAAAAAAAAAAAATAATAAACATAAATATAAAGGGGTGTAAATTATATTTGATTTATAGTTTTTAAAACACTTCTAATAGTTTTCACTA